CTAATGGGCATTCAAAGTCTTTAACCCTGCTGGAAAATCTAAACACAATTTAAGGTGGGTTCTTTGTTTTTGAGCTGGTTTGTAGCTGCTTCATGCTGATTTAGGTGGTTGACAATCCAAACTAGACCAGCTTGGACCAGCAACAAACCACTTTAAGTTTGTATGACCTAGTCATACCACATGGTCTCTTATCCAAGATGGTTTAACAGGTCTCCACCTGCTAATGGAATGTGCAACTACATAAACCAGCTTGAACCAGAAAGAAACCAACTATGTTCTTCCATAACCAGGTTTGTGCATTTAGAATCTAATATTTTCTATGCATCATGATCCTCAGGTATCTCATGCAGAGCCTTTTATTCAGTGATGCTGGACATTTAACTTTGTGGAAGTAAAGTTTTGTTTATTGGCTTTGATGTCGGTTTATCTCTCCAGGCCCTCTGGAGATTCTTTTAGCTGCTTCTCAGATTCCTGTTTGTCCTTTTCCATTTGTTCCTGCTCTTTGGTGTCCAGTTCCTTCAGTTTTTCCTCCACGTCTTTGGGAATCTCCACCTCCATCAGATTCTCCATTCCTGCCTCCGGCTCGTCTCCAATCAAAACCTTAATCAAAGACACACAAAATTGCACATGAAACCTTAATGGACCTCAATATGTTCCGTCAGAGTCGCATATCGAGAGAAAAGTGGTAATGACGCAGGACTGGAGCTAATGAGATGCCAGACAGCACTTCACTTTTACTGTCATTCCCAAGTAGCAATTTCGGGAACCCGACAACATGGAAAAACTTCAGTAACTTGAGTTGTAGCTGTTAAAGTCGTGTTAGTTAAAAACTGCTGCATTATGAAAAAGCGCCCATTAATCCTGGATAAATATTAGCCTCGTTCTGCGCTTGGCATATTAGCTGTTTTATTGACGCTAATTAAAATGGTTGGGTTGAGGCAAACGGCCGAACCACTGCTTCTGGCCTGGAGTTCAAAAGGGATCTCCCAGACGTTATGGAGAATATCATGCTTTAATAGGAGACCCTGTGACATCTTTTCCATGGGGCTGTACCCAAATATACGCCTGCAACGGTGCAAGGAACAGGCTTTTTCCACCAAATTAGTGTCTCTTGCTTTTTTTCGACCAAACTCATAAATCCTGGTTTTTGAGAACTGGAACTGATCTGCCTACTGTCTGGGGTCTTCCAAAGCACAACAATCCACATCTACAGCAAACGTTGCATGTGACGATCTTGCAAAAGTGATGCAATAGAGATGCAATCGTGTAATTTGTATGGAACTGCATTGATTTGAACCTAATGAGCTAATAATGTGTTACACTAAGTATTGACAACACACTGCGCCCACAAATATTGGATAAAATAGTCTCGTAATATCAACTTGTCTGCCATCTTGAATTCGTTTTTTTTCACCAAGCTCATTGCAATGTATTCTGGGATTGCTTTATCCTCGAATGATACATGCATTGCTGCCTTAAATGTTTTCATACCTGGATGAGTTTCTCACAGGCTGAAATCACATGTGGATCCTTCTCCCATTTGTGAAACTCTCTCATGATGGGATACACGTTCTTGTTCTTCATAATCTGTCGGCCCACTTTAGTAGCTGTAAGCTGAATATGAACAGATCATTAAGAAACTGAACTAAAGAATAGCCATACGTACATAAAGGAAGAAAAATATAGTGATAATACCCCACATTCCAAAATAGTTTTGAAAGAAATTAATGCTTTTATACAGCAAGGACCTATTAAATTGATTAAAAGTGGCAGTAATGACATTCATAATGTTACAAAATATTTCTAGTTCAAATAAATGCTGTTCTTTTGAACTTTCTATTCATTAAAGAATCCTTACAAATGTAGTATGGTTTCCACAGAAATATGAAGTAGCACAACTGTTTTCAACAGTAAACATCATAAGAAGAAATGTTTCTTGAGCGACAAATCAGCAAATTTGATTTCTGAAGGATCATGTGACACTGAAAACTGGAGCAATGATGCTCAAATTCAGCTTTGCATCACAGGAATAAATTACATTTTAAAATATTCAAATAGAACATTTTAAATTGTAATAATATTTTACAATGATACTGTTTTACTGTATTTTTGATCATATAAATGCAGCCTTGATGAGCATAAGAGACTTTCAAAAATGTTTAAAAAAATCATACTGACCCCAAATATTTGAATGGTTGTATAAGTCATTTACTTCAATACAGGCAAATGCTAGATAAAATAAATGAAAGATTTGAGATGCTGTTCTTACAAGCATCAGGGTTTCTAAGAGCATCTTGCGGATATCAGGATCATCTTCTCGCTTTTTATCCTCTGGCAGGTACTGCAAGTCCACAGGCAAACCTGTAAATGCAAATAAAAATCAATGAAATCTAAAGTATGCAATTGTTGTATTGTTAAAATAGCGTCACGATAATCAAACACTTCACCTCTAAAACATTTTAAGAAGGAAAAGTGGTCATAATCCTATCGCTTAGAATAGAAACAGCATGTCTCTTAATATGCTGGGTTCAGAGTTTGTTCAAATCTCAAACCTTTAGGATAAGCATTAGTAAAAAATCATGCTTGCCAATTATACAGTTCAAACATACTCTTATTAAGTTCGATTGTATGTTTGGGCTATAGTTATACAGACTTTGAAAGGATTTCAGAAAGGTCTTATAAGGTCACTTCTTAACTAATACATTTTCTCTCCTATTTTTGGTCAGAAAGGCATTATGCACAAGTGGAAAATATGGTGCATATAAACTCTTCAAACATGAAACCGGAAACTTTGAACAAAGATTCTGGCCTAGCAAATTCACACCTTCCTGCTGTAATGGTGGTATTTCCACTTTGTTCAGTCCATTTTCCTATTAACATTCAACCTGTGCATCATCAAAATGAGTAAACAGCACCACCTACTGGACAAACGAAAGAAACGTATTGCTTTTTGGTTTCTACACTACAAACAAAAATCAAAACAAAACAAAAGTCGTTCTTGAATAAGGGGCCTGTACCATGAAGCCGGATTAGCAGGCTAGCCAGATAAGTTTCAGTTTAGTTTGCACCAATCCTGGGTTTTATGTGCCATGAAAGTGGCTTGGCTTTTAGCTGCGTTCATTGCCGTAGTGACTTACACTGCACAGCTAGCCTGCTCTGGGGCAGCTTATGTTCTGGGTAAGAGATCTCAAACTGAAATTGGACCAATCAGATGTGAGTAAAGTGACACGTCTGACGCAAAAAAAGTCACTCCCCCAGTTTCTCTTCCTACAAATTAAGGGTCATTATAAAGTACCTTTAAAAATACAACAAAATTGTCTGGCTTTAATGATAATTACAATTTACATGATTTATATAATTATAATATGATTTATATTATTATTAATCCATTACACACAAGTACTTTTAGTTTAACAATTATTATAAAGCATTTATTTTAAATGAATATTAATATATACAGATGAGATCATATGTAATATAAGTGGTAGAATCAATAGATAACACTTTAAAAATGGCTGCATGACCTTACATGTTCGAGTCTATCGCTATTATCGACAACTATATAAACTAACTTCACAAGATTCACTTGTGACTGCACTAATAGAGCAAGATCATTTCTTTTATTTGTCCTCTTTCATGGACAAGTACTTCAGTGTAAATGCGTTTAACTTCCTCCTATTCTTTAATCTCTTAACCTTTAACAAAAGAGTTTTGAATCTGGCTGGCTCTCTGGCGAGAAGTGAATCACACTTGCTGTGTTGCGATTGGCTGTTCACCATGATGTCACACATTCACGTGCACGTGCTCCACAAACTCCGGATCAAAGCCTGAGCTGACAAAGAAAGTTGATGATCAGCATCAGACAAAGAAAGTTGATGAGCCTGAGCTGACAAAGAAAGTTGATGATCAGCATCAGACAAAGAAAGTTGATGATCAGCATCAGACAAAGAAAGTTGATGATCAGCATCAGACAAAGAAAGTTGATGATCAGCATCATGGTACCAATAATGCTGGATTGGATTGGAGTGGTTTGGTTTTGTCAACTCGAAACTAATCCTGTAACTCTGAATTTGTTCGTCTACCATCATGCTACATGTTTCATAAAACAAGTTTACCAAATAAGCCAGGTTTATTTCAGTTAGTCTGACTTCTAGTCTGTTGATTTGGTTCAAAATAAGTTAGACTTACTAAAATAAGCCTGGCTTATTTGGTAAACTTGTTTTATGGAACAGGCCCCTGGAGGGCATAAACATCAGATGATGTAAAAAGCATCACCTTCATTCTCTTCCTCTGAGAGCTCCTCTGGTCCAGCCAATGGTAATATAAGGTATGGTAAAATATCCACCGCATCACTGAGCAACCACTCATGATGAGCTGTATGGACAAAAGGCATGTTTAATGAGAATTAAATGCATTTTTGTTCATTTGTCTTTGACGTATTTTTGCATTGGCTTTGCTTTCAATTATGACATTTGCAGCAATCAAATCACATGCTCTCTACATTTACATTTATTCATTTAGCAGACGGTATTACCATAGATTACTAAGCCAATCTCAAGCGTTGAGATATAATTTAAAGAAATAAGAATCACTCTTACTATAGTCAAAGCAGCAATTTCTGAGCGTTCCCACCACCCCTCCTCGCCTGGTGCTCGATTCCTCGTACTGTGTGTACGGCAGGAGCCTCTGAATCACACACCTGTAGAAACACGTATGAAACACTTTATTAATGCCATACTATCTAGTACCACTGCTTTTGGAGATGTACCATGGTAATATAATGTTTTTTGACAAAACCATAATAATACCATATTTTGGACATGTACCAAGGTGATATGCCTTTTTTTGTTTTTACACATATCATAATACCATATTTTGAACATGTACTACGGTAATATTGTGGGGGGTTTTGACACGTACCATGATGAATATGCCTTTTTTTGTTTTTACACATATCATGATAATACCATATTTTGAACATGTACTACGGTAATATTGTGGGGGGTTTTGACACGTACCATGATGATACCAATGTTTTGTTAGTTTTTATATCCACACCATGATAATACCATGTTTTTGGATATGTACCATGCTAATATCATATTTTTTAATCCATACCATAATATGTTTTAAGACATGTACTAGTGTAATATTATGTTTTTTTTTTATCTGTACTAATGATAATACCATATTTTTATAGATGTACTATGCTAATATAATAGGGTTTCTATCGTGAAATATATAATGTTTTTACGCATACCATGGATCTGGAAATAGTACTATGATTAGTAGAGTGTAATTTTGTATGTAATCATTCAGTACTGTAGTATTATCAGTACAGCTTACCTGTCCTTGTCCAGAATGAAGTGGCGTGCCTCGGGCAGCTGTGTGAGGTTGGACAGCAGGGGTCCCAGATAATGAAGTGAAGCTTTCTTATTGAATCCCTCCGTGCAGAAGATCTCCACCACTTTGTCCAGTCCGATCTTCTGCTCCTGCAGAGCGCTGAACACATCTCTACACGTCCGCTCGTGTCGGCTCAGGTTACTGAGGATAGTACAGATCCGATCCGCAAACATATACTCCGGGTCCAGGAGGTTCTGGAACAGTATGGCCAGCAAGTCCGTCTCTTTGACCAAAGGCTGGTGAAGAGTCTCGTCCGCTGAGAGGTTAATCAGGGCATGATAACAGTCCTTGACAATGGTGATGGAAGGGTCGCGGGTCAGGGTCACCAAGGCTTTGAGAAAGTCTGGCTTGGACCGCAGGTACCGGCACCCATCCCGGTTTCCTGTGAGGCCCAGGATGTATCCCGTGGCCTGACCTTTGACATCAGCTCTCATCTCCAGAGTGAGAAATGACAGCAGTTCTTTAGCTTCACCATCACTAAGCATTGTGGCTAGGTCTGTTGACAGACTCAGATTCTTGTTTTTTTTATTCAAACTGCAAAAGAAAACACAGACAGTCTAAGCACTAGCTTAATCATAACCTTTAGACAGCTAGAATCGCACAAAAAAAATATACAAATAAACAAAAATTGGATTAAAATAAATAAATACATTAATAGTAAAGCGATATAATGAGTAGAAAAATTGTATACGCTAGAATCAGAATACAAATAAAAATAAGAATTTGATTAAATTAAAATATATAGCATAAAATGTCGATTAAAATAAATAAACGGATAAATAAAAATTTGATTAAAATAAGAAAACAACACATTTTACAGTACAGTGCTATAATGAGATGAAAAAGCGTAATAATTTACTTAATTTAAACTCAATATTTTCCAAGCAATATTTAGACAAATATATAATCTTTTAAGAAACTATACATTTTTGGATCGTACGAGGGTAATCATTTTCGCCGGTGTTTGGCATCTGAAATATTGAAAAAACCTGCCTTAGTGTATCTCAAAATGCCATGATATCACCATCACTGTATCATGGCAACACAGTACAGTGTTTAGTACAGAGTCCAAATTTATCACGATAGTACAGTTTGTGCACTACAATCCTTCAAAATTATAATCATAACCACTGATCATTACATGTTTACACTATTCAACTGAATATGCAAAACCAAAAATCTGACCTGATCAGCGATCTACGACTATAAAAAGCATGTTTAAATATGTGGTATAAAACAAAATCATCTCGTTTTCATTCAATTATTTGTCGAAATAGAATATACTTACCACATTCACGATATACAGAACACACGTGCGTTGAACTTAGTTCCTGCTGTAGGAATTGACATGTCGCTTATCCAATCGGAATACGGTTTACTCAAATCTTCCCGCCCTCCTTTTTACGCACTGGCATATGATTGGGCGATTAACTCCAAGCTCCGCCTTCGCAGTCTTCTTCTCGCGCTTTGTGTGCTGCGTGTGTTTGAAACATGGCAGCAGTTCAAGTAAGCGAAGCGGAGAAGGTTTATATTATGCATGGAGTTCGAGTAAGTAAAACATTTTTTAGTTCTATTAAACGTGTTATGAAAGAAATAATTTGAACATCCGAAAAAGCCCCTATTCTGTAGCCTATCTGGTGGTCATAATAGTAAAACATGAAGTACTGTACATGGAATTTAGACATATGCATGTGTATATGCATATTGAGCTATATTTTTATTTACATACTATTGTAGTATTTATTAATATTTTGAATTAGCTTGTATTGTTATATTTCCAGTTTTCATTTTCATTTCAAAATACATGTTTATGTTTTTGCAATTTTGTTAATGTGACAATGTTAAAACTGTGGCAGGCAGTGCTATTTTTTTTATTACTTATATACTGTTATAGTATTTATTAATGTTTTATTTGTGTGCTTTTAGTTAGTTTTTTTTTTGTCATTTTTATAAAAAATTTTTGTCATTTTAGTACTTCAACTTTAAATTTTTTTTTTTTTTTTTTACTCGCGGTACATTTAATAGACATTTTTTGGGGGCTTTTCTTTTTTCTTGGGGAAATATTATAAATTTCATCATATATTTGTGAATGATTGAATATAATTTTTATGTATTTATTTATTTTATTATTTAATAATATTGTTCATTTATTGTATACTATTCATTGAAGTATTGTTATTAAGACTGTTTAAATCTTGCTATTTTTCAGTTTGCCATAAATATAGTCTTTGATGCTGTAAAATGTTTCAAATAAATCAAGTTAAAATTTTTCATCTAATATTTTATTTTCTTTCAGCTTTAATTAATTTAACAAAAGTTATTTTTAATAGTTTTAGATAACAATAGCAACATTGTTTCCAGGCCTGAAAAAGTCATAGAAATTTCTCTAATGATTTTTTTTTTGTTATACTCTACAATATTTTCTAACTATGTTAGTTTAGTTTAAGAGGTTTTCCCGTTAAAAGTAAACCGTAAACTCAGGACATTTGTGTTTTGAACATGTTGTTTATTTATACTTAAACATTTAACCATTAAAGCATATACATTCCCAGGATTAATATGCCAGATACAAATATCGATCCACCCTGGGAGTCTCTATAAAATGTTTTTAAAAGCCTTTATGCAGTAATCCTAATTGGAAAAGTCATTGAAATTCACTGCTTAAACATGGTGGAAACCCCAAATAAACAATGAGGAACTTATCTGGACAATGTTAAAACTGTGGCAGGCAGTGCTATTTTTTAATATTACTTATATACTGTTATAGTATTTATTAATATTTTATTTGTGTGCTTTTAGTTATTTTTTTTTTCATTTTTATAAAACATTTTTTTGTCATTTTAGTAATTTGTTTTTTTTTTTTTACTCGCGGTACATTTAATAGACATTTTTTGGGGGCTTTTCTTTTCTCTTGGGGAAATACTATACATTTCATCATATATATTTGAGAATGATTGAATATAATTTTTATGTATTTATTGATTTTATTATTTAATAATATTGTTCATTTATTTTATACTATTCATTGAAGTATTGTTATTAAGACTGTTTAAATCTTGCTATTTTTCAGTTTGCCATAAATATAGTCTTTGATGCTGTAAAATGTTTCAAATAAATCAAGTTAAAATTTTTCATCTAATATTTTATTTTCTTTCAGCTTTAATTCATTTAACAAAAGTTATTTTTAATAGTTTTAGATAACAATAGCAACATTGTTTCCAGGCCTCAAAAAGTCATAGAAATTTCTCTAATGATTTTTTTTTTGTTATACTCTACAATATTTTCTAACTATGTTAGTTTAGTTTAAGAGGTTTTCCCGTTAAAAGTAAACCGTAAACTCAGGACATTTGTGTTTTGAACATGTTGTTTATTTATACTTAAACATTTAACCATTAAAGCATATACATTCCCAGGATTAATATGCCAGATACAAATATCGATCCACCCTGGGAGTCTCTATAAAATGTTTTTAAAAGCCTTTATGCAGTAATCCTAATTGGAAAAGTCATTGAAATTCACTGCTTAAACATGGTGGAAACCCCAAATAAACAATGAGGAACTTATCTGCATCCCCTTTCCCTTTTTCCCCCAAACAGAATTCCCAAAGTGCATTTATCTGAGGATGAGGAGGGAGTGAAGGAGATGGAGTTGTCAGACGACCCTTACGACTGCATGCGGCTCAATGTGGAAAATGTGCCGTGTATCGTAACCCTCTGCAAGGTACAGCACAGCCTGGAGCTGTTACCCACAATGCACTCATCTCACGTGCAGTTCTGTATTTCTGTAGCTTTTATATATCGGATGTGTGTGTGTGTGTGTTTCAGATTGGTCACAGACATGTGGTGGACGCCACGCTACAGGAAAAGGCCTGCTCTGTGGCCAGTCTCCTGATTTCAGTCACACACAGAGGGACGGTCACGTGCGTCAGGAAAATGGGAGGAGGAAGTCTGGACCCAGAAAGTATCTTTGAGATGACAGAGGTTAGATAATTATTTTTGTTGTTCTAATTATTAGTAGTGTTTTCTAAGGCATCACTTTTGTTCAAATCCCTAACTACAATTATTATTATCCCTGTAAAGCCTGACATATGAAATAACAGTCAGAAAAATCTGACTATTAATAAAAAATAAAATAAAAATTTATGGAACAGGTTATTGAACCTTTAGACAAAATATAAAATAATTTTTACAGAAAAAAAGTTTGCATGTGTGTCTTTTGTGGAGTATCTTATTTGATACATCAGGCTTTTATTGCTCATACAGTATGATCTAATGCTGATATTTATATGGACAAAAAGTAAGATTCTATTCTGATAGTTTTATAACAGCGTAAAGGACTACTTGCAAAAATCATATAAATATTAATTGTCATTCTATATTTCCCAATGATATGTCTTAGTAAGATGAAACAACTTGATTATCCATGATTTTATTTATTTATATATATATATATATATATAAAAAAATGTTTTCTTCTTCAGTTCTTGAAATATTTCTAGAAATATAAATTTAGAGGCCTTCAAAATTTTTGTGAAATAAATATGATAGAGTAGGCTTTATAGGGTTAAACTTTGGTGCTATATTAGAGAATTTCATGCAGCTGGTGCTGTTTATGTCTGCTTCTATATCAGAACAGACAGTGAGTCAGACTGGAGCTAACAACTGTATGTTTTCACACTTTCATTTGAAACCAGGTGTTTTTCATTTGTGTAAAAAATGCTTGTCTCCTGGTTAGGAGTTTCTGTTGACTGTTATCGTGTGTTCGTGTTATAGGCTGGGAAGCGTGTGGGCAAGGCTCTTCATGCGCCTCTCATGGAGCTGCTGCAGAAAGAAGAAAGTCTTGGCAAGAAACGGCAGAAAGTGGGATTCCTCGGATAGCTTCCTGTTTTGTACCTTTTTTTTTTTGTTGTTGTTTTTCAAATAAATGAGCTAAATTGTCTATGACGTTTGTCATGTCCTGCTTATAAACTTCAACTAACATAGAATCCCGTCTACTGTGAGCTTATATAACATGCTGTTTTTGTTTTCATTTTTCCAGCTGTCCTTTTAATGACGGAACCCAGACTAGCCCTCAGACTGCTGTTTAACAGATGACTGAATGTTAAATGATTCTTCTCTCAAATCAGATTTTTTGTTGTTGTTTTTCAAATAAATGAGCTAAATTGTCTATGACGTTTGTCATGTCCTGCTTATAAACGTCAACTAACATAGAATCCCGTCTACTGTGAGCTTATATAACATGCTGTTTTTGTTTTCATTTTTCCAGCTGTCCTTTTAATGACGGAACCCAGACTAGCCCTCAGACTGCTGTTTAACAGATGACTGAATGTTAAATGATTCTTCTCTCAAATCAGATTTTTTTTCCTATGTACGTTTTGAGCTGTTTGAGAGAAATTTGAGCACTTGATGTTTTTTTAATACCTGAATTTAATAGAGGAGTAGAACAAAATACCCAGAAACCTTAAAGAAATAGTTCACCCAAAAAATGAACATTTGCTGAATATGTACTCGGTCTCGGGTCATCCAAGATGCAGATGAGTTTGTTTTTCATCTGAACAGATTTGGAGAAATTTAGCATTGCATCACTCGCTCACCAGTGGATCCTCTGCAGTGAATGGGTGCCGTCAGAATGAGAGTCAGAACAGCTGATAAAAACATCACAATAATCCTCACGACTCCAGTCCATCAATTAACGTCATTTTTAGAGAAAAGCTGTGTGTTTGTAGTAAATAAATCCAATGTTGCTTTCAGCTAAAATACAAGTCCATAATCCATCTTTCTCCAGAGAAAAAGTCCATTCTCTGTTGTGAAGTGACATGTGGCCAAGTATGGTGACCCATACTCGGAATTAGTGCTCTGCATTTACCCATCCAAAGGGCACACACACACAGCAGTGAACACACACAAACTGTGAACACACACCCGGAGCAGTGGGCAGCCATTTATGCTGCGGCGCCCGGGGAGCAGTTGGGGTTCGGTGGTATATTCAGTCATGGTATTGAAGGTGGGAGAAAGCGCTGTACATTCACTCCCCCCCACCTACAATCCCTGCCGGTACGAGACTCGAACCCACAACCTTTGGGTTATGAGTCCGACTCTCTAACCATTAGGCCACGACTTCCCCCACAATTGTCATCTCGCATCAAAATCCACCAACATGGACTGTTTTGCTTTTAAACAAAATCTGTTCATATTTCTATCCTGATTCAGACGAGGTGACTTTTTCAATGGAGAAAGCAATATTATGGATAGAAGACTCATTTCAACATCAGTTTGGAGTTAAAAATGTCAATGGATTTATTTCTTAAAAACAAACAGCTTTACGCTTCACAAGATGTTAAATGATGGACTGGAGTCTTCTGGATTATTGTGATGTTTTTATCATCTGTTTGGACTGACGGCACCCATTCACTGCAGAGGATCCATTGGTGAGCAAGTGATGTAATGCTATATATTTCTCCATATCTGTTAAAGAAACGAACTCCTCTACATCTTGAATGGCCTGAGGGTGAGTAAATTTTCCGCAAATTTTCAACTTGTCATACAAATTAATACACTTGTTATGTTGGTGTATTCTTTTTTTTTTTTTTTTCATTTGTTCTAGAAAGGATATTTGATTTAATTGCGAATATTAGCTAAAAAAAAAATGTCGTATACATTTGTGGAATATTCAGAGACTTTTGTAAGTTCACAGGTGCTGTAGTTGTCATTTTTCCTGGGATGGTGTTGAGCTCACACCAGTGTCCAGCAGGACGTGTCGTCTGAGGAACATCCAGCGGCTGTGAGCCTGGATATATTCCATCCCATAATAGCTTTGCTTCTTCCTGTGGCACGGTGAATCCAAAACAAACCGCAGCAATCTGCACAGATAACAATATCATACATGAGAAGAATGCATGATGGGAAATGTGTCCTGAGGAGACCTTAAATGCTCCAGGACTCTCGATGTGTATTAAGCAATTTGAGAACCTGCTTTTCTGAGTCAGTCATTTCATTCTAAATATGAGTCCAGGTTTATAATCTGCAATATAACTCATATGAGCTTTTTAAAGGGATAGTCCGCCCAAGAAATAACACAAAATAAAATATTTTGAAGAATGTCGGTAACTGAAGATTTGGTTCCCATTGACTTCCATGATAGAATTAAAATTTTTGGGTGAACCATTGCTTTAAATGAGTGGGAAAACATACTGAGCAAAGAAACCGGGGCTTGTTGTCACACTTAAAAACTGCCTATATATATATATATATATATATGTATGTATGTATATACACTCTAATATAAATAACTCCACTGTTGATTTTTTATCTAATAATTTATTTTGGAATGAGACCACACATTTGAAACAAGTTTATTTCCACATACTTTTAGCAAAATTTGAAAAGGAAAAATAATTAACTAAAACAAAATTAATTATGCCACAAAAATGTTGAAGGTGACAAAAATCAGACTATTCTGGGCAACAGTTAATGTAATTAATTTTTTTTTTTAAATAAGTATTAAAAAAAACAATTACACTGTCCTATTCTTGTCTAGAGAACATTATTCAACTTTTTAATTAAGTTCTACTTTTGTTATATACAGTTAATTGACTCTTGTTTTAATATATGATACTTGAATTTAGCTTGGAGGACATAATTCACAAAATGTATTCTGTGTGAATCCAGCACACGGTGTGTAGTTTATGTAACACTTCCAGCCATGCACTTTAAGCGTGAGGATTGTTGAGTGTGTGTGTGAGGTGTATGAGGAGCTAAGCTGAGAAGCAGAGATCTCTCCTCATTCTCCAGACTTCACCATGAGACTCAGAGATGACTGTCTTCTGCTGGGGGTCTTGCTGCTCCTCACACACACCTCACACCAGCAGAATGCTCCCAAAAAGAAACCCAATGCCAAAAAAAGGTGAGACGGGATGATTTTTGCTCATTTTTGTTGAGTTTCATCTGCTTTGTGTGAATTCTAAATGTTGAAAAAGTTGCAGAGCATCACTGTGCAAAGCATATTTTCTTTCAAAGTTGCTGTTTGAAGAAAAGTAAACTCAGTTTCCTACCCGGTAAGCATTGATATGTTTAATACATTTGGGTGTGTTTTTAATCTTAACATAACTAATTTGAATCAGTTTAATACAATTGATTCTCAAGGTTCTCAAGTTTTAAAATAAATTAAAATACAACTTAATGATCGCTATTTTTTAATTTAATCAATAATCATGATATAAATAATTTAATAAAGAATATAAGTTAATTTAATTACATTTATTAAAATGTCTTCAATATATTAAAGAAAAATTACATATTTATTTATTTATGGTGATTCTCATTACCATACCACTTTTTTAAATCAGTATAAATTACAAAATCTTAATGGTTTTAAAATAGGCTTCATTGACTTCATGCATAATTTTCGGGTCAAATAGTTTGTTTTTTTCCTGTAATTCATCCTAAGATCTCTATTTATAAGACTCGGTTACTCGAGCCAGCGCTGCTTTGGTGGACCTGCAACAGCAGATCAATGACATTGTGGTGGAACTGAATCTTCTAAAGGAGAAGCAGGCCCTGCAGACTAGTGAGAACTTCACAGAGTTTCCTCATCACACCTTAAATCCATCTGCATTAGTGAAGCATCTAGACAAGATTTCTAACCTAGTCTAACTGAAAAAAATGGGATTCTGTTTGGCCCTTGCGCTCAAAAAAACTAAATGTTACTGTAGACTGTGACTTATTGTTTGGATTAAAGTTTATACACTTACATAAGTTTATACATGGCCTCCACGTGTCACTTTTGATGATTTTTTCAGCTTGTGTTTTCCCTGGAGAACATTGAGTCAGATGTCGTCCAGTGTTTGATGTATGAGGAAATCTTGAGACAAATATGTGTTATTTCATAAGACTATACAACTTTAAAGAGGTCATATGATGTCACGATGTCGATATGGGAAGATTTGCATAACGCCACCCAAATGTTCATGCAAAGAAAGAAGGCGTAACTTTTATTCTCGCTGTAGTATTGTTGTTGCCACCGCCATGTCGTGAAGACGCTGTGTGATTCGTTGTGAAAGTGAGACTACTTTGTTTGGTCTTCCAAAAGAGGACGATATCTGCTTCGTCATGCCTGGAGCTGATCCGTGCTGGTCGCTGAGGAAATACATCAACTTTGCGCTGTGGATCGCCGGATCGGCTTTCACCGTGGACGAAGCGGAGTCCAGCCCGGGGTCATCACATGTGGTTGCCGCAAACCCGGCAAAAACCTCCTTCGTCGAATCCGCCGGCCGTGCCATTCTCAAGCCTGCCGGCCTCTGCTTACTCTAGCCCGCCGTGTGTGACGCTGTGTTTCGTTGTGAAAGCGAAACTACTTTGTTTCTGATAGGGCATATAGGACCTACAATAATGTACAGTATTTAAAAAATAATGCGTTTTTTGAACATTAAAGCATGTCAACATATTCTGTTACACCAAATACACAAAATAATGATCTTTTAAAAAGCATCATATGACCCCTTTGAGATTATTGAATTCTGATGATATTTACACAGAAGTCCAGCCACCTGATAAAATCCAGTTGAACGGTGATTATTTCAGATTGCCATGAAAATTATAGACATGACATGAAAATAATTTATTGGTGTGCATTCCTAATTTTACCGTGTAAAATGTTAAATGCATTTTAATGTCTATTCCAGAGAGTTCTGTTGATTTTTCTTCAAATCTATTGCAGAAAATGTGATTGTGGTCTGTGTGTGATTATCTTCATTCCTAATACATTCTGAACAGTGTGGAACATCTATTAAAATACCTGAGAATTTATTTTAGGAATGAATGAAGTAAACATACAGAATTGAATAACAAACATATGAAACCTGTAGCCTGGATACAATCACTGTTAAAACAAAAAATATCCATTAGAGAAAGTCACGGCACACTTCTACCAGAGGT